ACACTCCAGGCACACACACATACACACTCCAGGCACACACACATACACACTCCAGGCACACACACACACTCCAGGCACACACCCACACTCCAGGCACACACACACACTCCAGGCACACACACACTCCAGACAAACACACACTCCAGCCACACACACACACACACTCCAGGCACACACACACACACTCCAGGCACACACACACACCAGGCACACACACACACTCCAGGCACACACACACACTCCAGGCACACACACACACACTCCAGGCACACACACCACACTCCAGGCACACACACACACACTCCAGGCACACACACACACTCCAGGCACACACACACACTCCAGACACCCACACACACTCCAGGCACACACACACACTCAGGCACACACACACACTCCAGGCACACACACACTCCAGGCACACACACACACACACACTCCAGGCACCACACACCACTCCAGGCACACACACACACTCCAGGCACACACACACTACAGGCACCACCAACACACTCAGGCCACACACACACTCCAGGCACCACACAACACTCCAGGCACACACACACACACCTCCAGGCACACTCCAGGCCCACACACAAACACACTCCAGCACACCACACACACACTCCAGGAACACACACAACTCCAGGCACACACACACACACACTCCAGGCACACACACACACACTCCAGGCACACACACACACAATCCAGACACACACACTCCAGGCAACACACACTCCAGGCACACACCCACACACTCCAGGCACACACCCCACTCCAGGCACACACACACACACTCCAGGCACACCACACCACACTCCAGGCACACCACACACACACTCCAGGCACACACACACTCAGGCACACACACACTCCAGGCCACACACACACACACTCCAGGCACACACACACACACTCCAGGCACACACACAAACACTCCAGGCACACACCACACACACACTCCAGGCCACACACACACACACTCCAGACACACACGCAGCACGGGCACACACACCCCTACGTTGTCTCCCCTCCAGTCCACCCGCCAAGCGTTTTGTTTTGCAACTGTTTAATAGTATTAAGCGAACCCCAATAACAACTTATACCGCCTTTTACTCCATCCCCCATCACCATCATCATCAACAACAACCCCCCACCCAGCCAGCCAGCCTCCTCCCCCGACGCGTAAACGGGATGTTAAAAGGCAGGGAGAGGTGCGGTAAGGAGGGAGGCTGGGACAGAGATCCTGATGCTGCAGGACACAGAGAGTGGAGGGCGCGTTCAGGTTATACACAGAGATCGCCAGCGCAGTGCACACGTACAGAGAGATCGTGTTGGATCAACAGAAACACCCTTATTATAGTGCAGTACACGCAGATATATTTATTGTTACACAGATACCATTAAACACTGTAGTACACACAATCATATACACATTGTTACCTTTAGTATGCAATAAACATATTACAGTACAGTGATCGTGTGACACAGAGACCTTAATACCGCAGTACACACAGTGAGCTGGGTCATATTGGGCTGGAAAACCAAACGGCCGATGGAATTGGCATAATATTTTAATTTCGACGTCAGCAACACAACGAACGTGTGATTGTACCTGCTTGTATGTACAGAAGATTTAGGATAACATAGTCCGACATAGTTAATAGTGTTGTATGGACACATTTATACCGTAGCATAACACACACACAGATCGTATTATATACACCGAGATCCTTTACTGCAGCACACAGTTATATAATTCTCGGCACACATTATTTATTAAATTAGGTATCACTGAAGCGATACCCCCGGCTATATTAGAGAAACCCTTATACTGCAGTGCGCACACCATAACAAACGTAGACACACATTGCTACATCGTATGTATATGGAGCGTTGCACACGTACATAACACGGGCAGTATACATGCAGTGTGATGTACATACCCTTTATACATCGGTGTTAATGTGATCAGGAGATCGTGGATTATATAGTCGGTTGATTGGAAAAGATCGACCAGCCATCAGCAGCAAACGCCGGCAGCAGCGTCATTATCAGCAGCAGCAGCTCCAGTGAGTATATCGATTACATCAATATCAGCAGCAGGATAACTCTCTTAACATCAGCATCACCATCTCTCGCGGTGACAAAGAACACCATTAGCATCACCACCATCAAGAATCATTTATCATCGTGATAATCATCAGTAAGCAGCACCATCAACCTCAGCTGCATCAGTAACTATCAGTAACCATCATCAATAATAATCATCAGTAAACATTAGTATCACCATCATCGACACCGCCATCAATAATCAGCAGCAGCGCCAGGAGACGTCAATATCACGATCACGACCATGAATCAAAAATCAATCCTCACCCTCGCCACCACCTTCACTCTTCAACAGCAGCGTCAGTACACATCACTAACGTCATCACATTCATCATCAATAACCTTCACCACCAATGCCAATCATCATCATCACCAACAATCATCGGCATCAATAATCATCGGCACCAATAATCATCGGCACCAGTAAACATCAATAACATCGGTATCATCACAACCATCAATCACCAACCTCCATCAGTTATCACCATCAACCATCGCTGTCACTACCATAAATAATGATCATCAGCAGCACCACCTCCAATCATCACCACCATAACGGTCAATAACCACCAATTACCACCACCACCACCAATCATTACTATTAAAGAATCATTCGTCACAGCCGCGGGGCTCCGCAGGGGCGAGCGGGGCCGTCCGCTAGGGGGCGCTGCGCCCCGCACAGAGGAGGAGGAGGCCTGCGCGGGGTAATTTTCCATTCGGGGGGTGGGGGCTGGTGGGGGGGCTGGGACCGTGGGGGGTGGTGGGGGGGTGGCTGGGACTGTGGGCGGGGTATTTCCTCCCCCCCCCCGCCGCGCGCTCCCCACTCACTGAGCCATCTCCGGGTGTAGCCCACACACCACACTCACTACAACTACTGCTGCTGCACCCTCACTCCAATTGCTGCTGGTGACACTCATCAGGCTCTGTGTCCACCTGCAGCGGTGTGAAGTCATTTGCGTCGCGATCAGCAGCATCAGCATCATCATCAGCAGCATCAGCAGCAGCATCATCATCAGCAGCAGCAGCCACCAAGCAACGGCATTGTCGTCAGCGGCATCGTTCCCACCAGGTGTGTTACCGATGTGAAAGCGTGGGGTGTGTGATATGTAGCAGCAGTGTATGTGTCAGGATACACGTGTGTGTGTAACAGTGTGCACGTGTGTGTCAGGATACACGTGTGTGTGTGACAGTGTGCACGTGTGTGTGACAGTGTATGTGTCAGGATTGGCTAAAGTGGCCACTCGGGACAGAGTCATCTTGTTGGGTGACTTCAATGCCCGAGTTGGTCATGATGCTGGCACCTGGTCTGGAGTGATTGGAAGGCATGGGCCAGATCAGCTCAATAACAACGGTAGGAGGCTGCTAGATTTTGTGCAGCCCATGGGCTTGTAATTACCAACACGCTCTTCCGGCATCGGCGCATCCACACAACATCATGGATGCATGCCGGGTCCAAGCAAGAACATCTGCTGGACTACATAGTGACGGATTAGCGGATGCGAGCCCATGTCCTTGACACCAGGACCTACCGTGGAGCTGATGTGCCCTCTGACCATCGACTTGTCATCTGTAAGATGCGCCTGCCATTCTTCCACTCCGGTGGTGGGTGTACACCCAGGACCCCATTCCAACCTAAAGTGGCCTGGTCTCAGCTGATGAAAGTTGCAAGCGAGAATTTAATCATCGCTTGCAGCTGGGGTTGGCATCGTCCCCCACTCCTCCTGATGTCGAGGGTAAATGGGCGAGGTTTAGGACTGTGGCTCATGCAGCTGCAATGGCTGCTTTGGGTACGTGGTCCAGACCTCCCCAGAGACCTGGCTGACAGAGGAGGTGAGGAGTCAGATAGTGAGAAAAAGCGACAGGCCCACTCTCATCGGCTACAGCATCCCACGTCAGAGAATGAAGAGGCTTACCGCAGCCTTCGCTCGGAGGTTCGGAGAGCCGTAAGGCGCTGCAAGGATGGGGGTGGTCGCGGATTGCTGAGGAGATGGAATCTGCCTCAGTGGCCCGCGATCACAAATCACTATTTAACTCCATCAAAAAAGTAACCTGCAGCGCCACACCTATTACCATAATTAGGGGAAAAAACGGTGATCCATTCTCCGACCCACAGGAACAGTTTTGCAGATTTGCTGAGCATTTCTGTGAGGTCCTGGGGGAGGGGAAATCCTTCAGCCAGGAAAACAATGGCACAA